GACTTACCGCTTGGTGCAGGCAGCCTACCTTCCGACTGTCTACTATGGACTGGAGTTTGTAACTGACCATGTATCGTATGTGAAGCAGATTCAGGTCCACGTTAATGATTGCCTCCGATCAGTATTCCGAACGCCTATGAGGTTAGCAAACAACATACTGTTGGCTGAGTTCGGATTACCGCCTGTTGCTATACAGAGAAGGTATCTACAGCGGAGGTGCTACAGCCGGTTCATCAATTACCGGTACAGTGACCAGTATCCATGGTTCAGGGAAATATGGTTACAGTGGAAGGAGGAAGGCATGGTGGCATATCGGCGGACTTCGGATAAGGAGCTCACCTGCCGCCCGACGGTTTCAATTGGGAAAGACAAGGTAATGATGGCTGCACGCCACTGAGTTCTGTACAAGGACCTCTGTACATCTTCAGATGTGGTTATGTACACGGATGGGTCCAAGTACTCTGAAAGAGCTAGTGTACTCTGGACGGTATTTGAGAGAGGGGCCTTGACCCATGTTGACAGGTGCTCGGTTCCTCCATCCTGGAGCATTATGGAATGCGAGTTGTTTGCTATTGTGTGTACCCTCCGACATGCTCAGAATATGGCCAAGAGATGCCAGGTCCATGTGTTCTTAGACTGCGTACCGGCCCTGATCATAGTTGACAACATGTTTTCAGATAGTGACTCAGCTAAGTTGTGAGAGATAATGGTACCCCTGTTGAATACATTCTCACATGTTAGTTTCGGTTGGGTCTCCAGTCACATAGGCATTGATGGCAACGAGATGGTCAACTTGAAGGGTAAGATATGTATCAGATGCCCCTTGCACCCCCTGCTTTGGGAAGGGGTTAGCTTTGGGATTGGTCATGCGGCTCTGGCTCGGGAGCTCTGTAAGGAGGAATGGGGGACTTGGCATACTAGAAAAGGACACGAGTATTATTCTCGGGAACCGAAGGTGCCTCAATACCTCTAGGGCCTAACCCAGATGGATTCCTAAGTTTTGATGCAGATCTGTAGTGAAACAGGCATGGTCGGCCATGACAGATGTAACAGGAAGGAAGACTGACACCACTGGACTGAGTGCCCCCACTATGCTAGAGCACGCTCTGCTAATGAAGATCTGTATAAGGATTCGGCAATTCCGAGATAGAAATGCTGGTAGATGGATCATCGGTGGCTGGGCCTGGGAATCCCTCGCCATATTGGATTGATAAACGGGGAATTGGTTGTGGCAGGTAACCCCTTTGACAGCACACTGAGGGTGAAACGGAATGGGGTGTCAGTACTTATAGGAGACCCTACGACCTGCACACAGTGTGAGAAGAGACATGATGGCAGCAGCTGCATCTTGCCAGGCAAGGTGACACTGCCGAAGAAGTGGTTCTTTTTACCTGACCAGCGACGGTGTGATTGTCCCTGTTGTGGTACCGCTATTGCCACTACAGCTATAAAGAAACGCGCCACCTTCACGGAACACTTTGAGAGACATCTCCGGTATTTACAGACCTGTGACAATCAGTTTTCGCATTCCCAGCATTTACAGTGGGATGAGCTGAACTTGACGATGTGGACGTCACTGGTCTTGAGGTGGGCCAAAGTAAACCAGTTGCTGAAGGAATCCGGATGCCCCTTTTGTGGGGTGGTGTTGGCGGAAGGATATTTGGACCTAGGGTTGCATTACAAGACGACAAAGGGATATTGGGACAGACTGGATATTTCTTTTGTTGAGTATGTGGGTCAAATTGTGTTGTAGGCGGATAGGGGTGAGGGAATGAGATGGTGGTTGGGTGGCGAGGTGGGAAGATGCATTAATCCGGGGCGGCACTAGTTGCTGCGAGCGCCCATGAGCCCGCATAGGTAGTGATTTTTGGATTTATGTTTGGGAGGAGTGGTTCCGAGGTGGAAGGGTGCACGGTAGTGTATTTTAAATAGTTTGTTTTTATGGGGCGTGGGGGAGACTGGTCGTATGCCAGTATTGGTGGTACTAGTATAAATAAAATTAGATTGAATTCAAAGTACTTTTCCTATTTATTACTTTAACGAATATAAAACACCTTTACGATCTTTATCTTTATTACAACATTATTGTTATGCGGAGGAACGCTCTTCACAAAGAAGAGTTAGAGAAAACTTATGATAGGCATTCCCGATAGAAGATAGAGGTCTTGTACTATTGGCAACGTAGGCAGAGGCCTAGTGCTATCATAAGACTAAGGAAAGAAATATAAGAATAAGAGAGGTATCATTTCCCGTTGTGAAGAATTAACTATCCGAGGAGGGATCATTACAAGAACTTATATATACTTAAGTAGATTTCATATACTGCCCATTGCTCCCCATCACAACTCAGCATTCTGGAGTACCAAACTCCCCTGTGCTGTATATCTAACCTCTACAGGTCAGACTAAAGATCATCCAGAGCGAATTAGAGAACACTGTAGTTTGCTAACATCTACTTAACAGAACTGCTTTAGCCGCTGCATCTACAATGCAACTGCAGGAGTAAAAACTCTTCTTATAGCAGACATATCAGTGGTAAGTTGTCATGCCTGAGTGAATGCAATACTAACTATACTACTCCATTCCATATTATTCCCGATAATAGCCAAGTAGCTTTCCCAATTGACTCCTTCTGAGGTTAACTCCCAATAGGTACTACTTACAGTCAACCATCCTAGAAGTAGTTCTTACTGTGACTCCAGACTAATATCTTAGAGTGCTTAACAATTCTCTATTATTACAATACTTTTGTGGCAAAAGATGTTGGTTACCTCACAGATAGGCCTCCAGTAACCTCACATACTACTTTATACTTCAAAGTGGTATTACTCTGTCAGTTCTGGTTCACTTTGCATGAAACCACTTAGAGACAATTCTCCTGGTTCTTTTCTGCCTCTTCATATATTCTACAGACAACTTCCAGTCGACCAGATGGCGTGAGCACATACTGTATTACAGGAGCATCTCTTCTGGTAGCCTTTTACTTGACTGACAGCAACTCTTCAGGCTGTAGTCCGTAATACTAGAGACCTATAAATGGGCTGGGAGGGGTGGAGGGTGTTAGCTACTATACCACCAAGTTACAGCTTGTTCCAAGCTCAACTGGATGTGTAGGAGTGATCTGAACAACCTAAGATTCATACACTCTATATAGTTTTGCATGACAAACAATCTAGTAACTTCCTCTAAAGCCTTGCCTAACAAGTTACTTTTAAGGTAAGGTAACTTGGCTCCGTAGCAGGGTAACCCAGGATCCAAGGTATGGTAACTCTGGTCTGAAGGTAGGGTAACCACTGCTCCTTACTAGTACCAATGTACTTCTTTATATGGTATAGCATGTCCAATGAAGGTACTTAATTAACTGTACCTCTACTCACTAGACTCTGGTCTATCACCATTCCTACTACAGTAGTCTCTTAACACTAGTATGGGTGTAAGTTTGGCTAACTGTAATAGTACTCCATGGAGTCTCGTTACATGAAGAATAATTATAGGAGGAAGTATATTATTCATCATTAAAATGATCTTGTAGAACTTGATAAGCATGAAGATTAAGCAGAAATATATTTTAAGTAGCTGCCAAGAAAGACTAAAACTGATATTATATCTTATTTGATAAATGGTCTTAGTATAATTCACCTTAATTTAACTCCACAATACATAGTCCACCTCTTCAAATTTTTATAGTATTGACTTTCAGTTTTGGGAGTTGCTTATATTTGTGGTTTCTTCCTTCATATTTGATTTTGCGTTCTAGTATTAGAGAAGAGAATTTCCTTAGTTTTGGTAGCTCGAGCCAGCCAGATGTGATTTTCTGAAAGTGATTATTGTAGGGTAGTTGTTCCGGATGTGTTCTCTCCAGCTACTGGTTTCAACTTTGGTCAGCAGGATGGTATTTCATCTGGCCGGTAGGTCCTCAGTAGGGATGGAGGTTTTAAGTCTGTATAGCTCTTACTGAGGAGGACCTATGCACCTTGCTCCACATAAATAATAATTTACAAATAAAAACTGGATATAAAAAAATACAAAAAAAAACTTGTCATAACCCAAAACAGAACTATCAGCTCATCTATTCTCCTTAGAGTAAAGCATATTACTATCCTCTTTCACCAGTTGACCAATCCAATCCCATTACCCTCTCACTTCTTTCCTCAATCTCTATTTCTACATTCTCTCCCCTTTCGTGTTCACCCTCCAACCTAGCCGACCCAGATATCACCTAGAGTTACTAATAACAAAAATCCTTTCTCTCCTTATACCCCCAACTTACTCTTGTAACTCAGTCGTAAATCCTACCCCAGCCAACCCAAATGCACTAGATAAATTTCAGTTATTAGAAAACTACTCCTACTTCCCTCTTCCACATCCAGTACCAGTATACCGGTACCGAACCTCACCACACCAATCCTTCCAACTTCCGAACTTTATACCGCCCACCCCACATTACGTACATCGGCACGTGACTCGCCACACGTAAACCTAGCCTCCTTGACTTTAAAATAAATTTATCAAACCCCAACACTTGCCAATAATCACCGGTTTTGTAGTGTAATGGCTAGCACTCGGGATTTTGATTCCCGCAATCTGGGTTCGACTCCCAGCAAGACCTTTTTTCTTTAACTCTTGTTTTGCAGCTACCGCGCTGCTTTGCTTCCCCTCTTATCGGAGGTCCACATATCATACTAACTTACGGTATACGAAGCGGCCCCCGTCCTCTTTTCTTTTTTGTCCTTTACAAGGCGCGCTTGGTTTCGTTACAAGATGTATGCTTGCACTACGGTACCGACGGCGACTACCCTAACTCAAGCTCATCGAGCAACACTCGATAAAACTGAATGCCATGAACCAATAACAATAAAACCCATACCGACCTCTATTTTATATGATATGACACTATGCAAAGATTACAAAGGCCTCACGCCTGCCAAATGAAAATCAAACCGCCTCGATCCACCCATCAATAATTCACTCAAGAAATCACGGCGGCAAAAACAAAAGAGTACGACGGAAAAATTTCTTATCATATTATATCACAAAACTGCCATTTTTCAGCCAAGGCCAATCAAGGAAAAAACAACTATTGGAAGTGAATATGACAAGAACAAAAAAGAGGGTGATCTGTTTATGACAACGAGGGTCGCAATTTTTTGTTCTCCATTGATTGTACAAAGAAAGGGAGCTGGAGACGAGAGGGTTGTATAGAGTGGAAGGGAAAACTGGGGGGGAGTGGATATAAAATATGAGGAGGATATATAGTTGACATTTTATGTCGGCATGGTTCATACGAAATGAAATACTATTACCAAAGGCGGCCCAAACAGGAGCGAGAAAAGAAAAAAGTGAAAGAAAAGCCTCCCAGTATTTGACCACCACTCATAGACTTCTAGCCAAAGGGAAAATGCCCCCCTTCCTTTCCTCCCTTCCCTTCATTCTAGTGAATTAGAATGATCACTTTTTACTCGAGCTTCCGCCCCCTCCAGACCTATCAGTCCTCGAATGAATATTAGCCTTATTTCCATCCACCATCAATGGCCAAAGAGAAAGCCAGCGCAAGCTGTCGAAAAGATTTTCCAACTTACATGCTGATCCTCCTCGCCACCCTGTTCAACTCCCTGTCATTGTCTGCCTCCCTCACAGCGCGGTTCATTGCCTCCTCCTTGGCCTCCTTGCCCTTCTTTTCCACTTCCTCGTGGCTTGGGGGCAATCTCTCATTTTGGAGGTCAACTTTCCTTGCCTCCTCGAATGAAGTGATAGCATCCTTAATGCCCTCTGCTCCAAGCATCAGTGTTCCAGCCGGAAGTCTGCCCCCAGTGGCGGTCTTAAGCTCAGTCACACGTTCAGATTCTTCACGCAAAACTTGGAAGACGCGGGACAGGCGCCCAATGGCAAGAATCTTATTCTTAATAGCACGGCGCTTGGCATCTGGGCTATTGGGATCAGTCTCGGGCTCAGGAGGAGGCGATAGCGGGTCGGTGGATGAAGGGGAAAGTGGCGTGTCCTCATTGAGTTCCTCCTTGGAGCAAGTGTTGAGAATTGCGATGAGCATATCAGTAACTAGAGCCGGAGGTTGCGATTAGTATCTGATCGGACGCTCTCAGGGCATTCGAACTTACTCTTTTCGCCAACGAAGGGAAGCGACCAGGTAAAAACATCCATAAAGTTAGGTAACCAATAAGGATGGGGCGTGCAATCTGCAATGGCGACCTTAGCACTCCAATCCTCGGGGATATTACTAAACAAATGGAGTAGATAAGTCAAACGTACTAAATTGTCTGATATTCATGACATTGTTCTCATATTTCAGAACAGCCGCCTTGTTGTTGTACACATCAAGATAATTGGGCGCAGAAAAGATGGTCATAACGCTTGGGAATCCAGTTGTCTTGGTCTTCCTATACATCCTGTACCCTGCGTCCTGTGCCTCATGCGCACGGATGACAGAGAGCAGGTTGTTCTTTTCGAGAAACGAGCAAGCAGCTGGGTATGAAAAAAAGTAAGAGCAGCCACGAACATGATTGTGGATGAAGAAATCAGAAGTTCTCTCTTGTCCGAACTCTTCTAGAGGGTCGGCCCAAAGAATATCGCACATCAAACCATGAGTGGGGGGCTCGCGGAAACGGTCAATCTATATCGCAGTCAGCCCTACATTACCACATATAGTACAAACAAGCCATGGCATACACTTCGCAGATCATCCAAGGTCTGGAGCTCAGGACTCAATCCACCGTGAATACACAAGAACTGCTTGTTCATAACTGCTGCCAGTGGTAACGCACAAAAACTGTCCATACAAGCTTCATATACACGTTCAGAATATTTGTGTTTGCCTAGGGAATGCGCATTAGTCGAGCCCAAGGAAGAAATTTAGGTTCAGCAATTGACCCACATTCCAACTTGAAGGTAAAATAATCTGTCAAATGCCTGCATTCATGATTGCCTCTCAAAAGCCAAAGAGTATTGGGATACCAGATCTTCAGCGCCCAAAGATATAAAACGCACTATTTTTCATCTCAGGTTAGACACAAATGGGGAAGGCACAACCCTGTGCTTCAAAACGATCAAGAGATAAAGAGCAGTATACCTCAATACTGAAGTACCCTCTATCAACGTAATCCCCCAGAAACAGATATCTAGTCTCCTCGGGATTCCCGCCTACTTCAAATAATTTCATCAAGTCGTAATATTGCCCATGAACGTCACCGCACACAGTGATCGGCGCGTCCATCTCCAGGAGATTAGGTTCGGTCCTGAGAATTTCAGTGCCACGGTTAATAATGAAGATGGCCTGCTCTTCAGTAAGACGACCCTCGCGGTAAAAGTGCTGCTTCAGGAATGCGAGATCCGGCTTTGTAGGATCATTAGAGTCGTAAAACTGCTCATTTGTAGGCTTGTGGAATGCAGGTGCCTGCACATCTATTTCAGGGAAGGGGAAATAATTAACCAAACTTATAGCGATAAAAACGTAAATGTAGAAACAAATAAGGATGTCTAAACAATATGAAAATGATCTAATCCCGCAATCCCGTCAAAACATGGCAAAGCTGAATGGACATAAAAAAGGATACTCGCATCGCACTTCTAAGCTAAGGGCTAAAGAGATGGAATGAACCCCATGCAGGATTCCTGGAACCAGGAACATCCATCACAAGGAGGGGTGAATGATAAGCAGAAAGAGACGGGGGGAACAAGATTCATCACGAAGAAAAGTTTTGAAGCGAAAAGAGCAAACTCGCAGAACATACCCTTGCAAACTCGCTCAAGTGTCGAAACTTGAGTCCCATCTTCCATAGTATGCAGAGTGAAATCAATTTCCGGGGGTGCCTTCTTCTCAATCACAGCACGAATGGCATTCTCCTGCTTTCTGCTGTTCTCAATAGCCACCGCTGATGCATTGGGATCGGCCATCGCAAGAAGGGAGTATTAGAATCAAGCTAGAGGCCGTTTTTCTGACGCTGTCTGATTATTGTTTTCTTTTTCCCCTTTCCGTTGACGAGAGTAGTTGTTGCGTCGAGGTTGAGCAGCGGAATGAGGGGCGGTGGGATAGGGAGTGAGGGGTGGGATGAGCGGGGTTGTCTCTGAAGCGAAAGAGACAACAGTAAGCTCCGGTGAATATTGGGTGTAACTGAGGGGGGAAGGGGTTGAGGATAGAAGTTGTTTTTTTTATTTATTTCTTGAGAAGAAAGAAGGGGTTAGAGGGGGGAAGTGGAAGGGGAGGTGACAAGTTGATGGAGCGCACGCACAAGGAAGAGAGGCGGACACGACTACCCAGCGCGGTGGTGGGGGAGGCAGGGCCCCGGGGGGTGTTGTCGGAGAGGAATGTGATGTGAAGTACCCTACAGGTACAGTAGCAGCGTCTTTGGTGGGAGGGTTTGTTGATGAGAAAGGTAAATTGAGGGATTCGACTGAGCGAGGTGGGGATGCCTTATGGGTTGTAGCATTCGAGATAGGATAGGGCTCATCAAAATTCCCGTGGATTCGAGGCTCTATAAGGAATAGTCTATCAATAATTCATACTTGTATCATACGATAGAGAGGGATATGCACAAGCAACCAGAGTCCAAGCTCAGTTACCACACCCCACACGCAAGGTGTGCGCGAAAACGGACAAAGACTTCCTCTCACTCCCACCGCAGGCTACTCCCTCCATATCACCACTGCCAGTATCGCATAAAAGCTTATGCTACATCCTACCTAACCTCACTCCTCTTTCACCCCGAGTGTTCAACCATGCCATGCGCTTCCCCCCCCTTTCTGCAAGCAATACAAACGCAAACAGCACTGGTCTGACAAATATTGCGAGCCTCTCTCATCAATTAAGCGCTCCCTGTGCGCTTGTATCATTCCTGTGCTGTAATATACCATACCATAGGCGAGCTGGTTTCTCCAAACGCACGCGATCTCTGCCCCCACCAACTCTCCAGTTGTTCTTATCGGGTGTGCATCTTGCTCAGCAGAGACCTTCGTCCAATTAAATATGATGTTGTGCCAGAACCCCTGCTTACCCCCCCGTCTAGGGCTGAGGCCCGGCCCGACTGGTTCAAATAGTGGATCACGTGAATAGGCTTCAGAGTGCTCTTTGATGCTGGCAGATCTCCAGATTATGACTGGTGTACGATACTGCACACATAAGAGATATTCGGGGGGGGTCCGCAAATCGGACCGCATAAACAGGATTGTGGAGTCTGGGTCCGGGTCGTACAAGGGGCTATAAACCAGTCATACGGTTTGCGACCGATGCCCAAAGGCCCAAAAGGGGCAAGAGAGTTCTCAGAGAGTTCACATTACTTTTATATCTACAGTGCCGACTATTGAGAGTGGGAGGAGGGGGCATCCTTTCCCACCCTATTCCTCCTCCTGATCCATATCGTCCCTTCTCCTCTTTCCTTTTCCTTTGCTCCCCACACCCCCGCTTCTAGCCTCTCTCCGTCCACCCTTCTTTTCCCTCTCCTCCCTCAGCTGCTTTGCCGCTTCCCTCTGCGCCTCGCCTACCCTCTCACTGAATATCAAGACGTCCTCCTCCTGGACATCAAACTCGGGAATCTTTTTTCCAAGAGCGGCTTCTATCCGGAGAAATAGTTCAACCTCGTATTGGGTGACAAGTGATATTGAGCGTCCGGAACGTCCAGCGCGAGCAGTGCGACCGACACGGTGAATGTACGTCTTGCTATCTTGGGCTAGGTCATGATTTAATACGCAGTCTACCGAGGGACTAGTAAGAAGTTAGTATGCAACAACATAAGAGAGCATCTGGGGAAACGTGCATATCCAAACCTCTAGCTGCCACATCCGTCGCCACAAGAATATTCCTACTACCCGACTTAAATTTGTTCAGTGCCCCCAAACGTGCACTCTGACTCATCTGGCCGTTCAAAGGGACTGCATTGAAGCCAAGATGCCTTAGTAAGATAGCCAACCTAGATGTCTCCTGCACGGTCCTGCAAAATATAATGGTTGTCTGCCCGGCGAACTCATTCATAAGATAAACAAGGTAGGTGTCCTTGTGTTTGAATGGAATAAACAGAAACTTTTGTATAAGCGTCGAAACAGTAGAATACTTCGAGCCAACAGAGATCCTGACCGGCGAAGACAACGAAGCCCTCTGCAATTTCTCAACCTTTGAAGTCATGGTCGCCGAAAACAAGTATGTCCTCCGCGTCTGAGGGATAACCTTCAGAATCTTGTCAAGGATAGGGCCAAAGTCCATGTCCAGCAATCTATCCGCTTCATCCATAACAAGGTACTTCAAATTCCTCAGCGAGAAACCTTTCGTATTTTCCAAATGATCTAGTAGACGGCCGGGTGTAGCAACGAGAATGTGCGGTTTCTTGCCGAGCGCTACTGACTGTGTCATCATGTCCATGCCTCCAACAATGACTGCACTTCTAACACCGATCCCGCCGCCGAGAGCTTCGAATTGTTCCGAGATCTGAAAGGCCAGTTCACGGGTCGGTGCCAGAATGCAGGCGAAGAGGCCGGTTGGGTTGTCCCATAGTGCTAGACATAAATGTTAAAACCGCACCAGAAGAAGATATTGCATGCGTAGGGATACCTTGTAATATTGGAATCGCAAAGGCTGCCGTCTTTCCACTTCCCGTCTCGGCCAGGCCGATAAGGTCCTTCCCTTCCAGTGCGACAGGTATGGACTCGACTTGAATGGAGGTAGGGTTCTTGTAGCCGAGATTCTCACAAGCTTCACAAAGCGAATCCATTACTCCCTAAGTTTCGATTAGCACTCAGCACCCCGAAGTGTAAGGTTAGTGAAAACGGGACTCACTAATTCCTTGAAGCTTTTCAGAGGTGCAGTTTCCGAAGGCCCGGCAGCATCGGGAACTAATTTAGCCACGGTCCCGGTTTCGCTCTCCGAAATGCCGCCCTCACCATCCTCCTGTTCCTCTCCAACGCCTTCTTGCCCCCCCGTAGATTCAGGCTTCACATTTTTATCCTTCGTAATCTTCGCGACCCTCTCCACCACATGTCTTTCCTTAACGGTCGCACCACGAGAAACCCTACGCTTCTTACCCGGTCCTTCACCCATTGCCAATTATCTCGTAGGCGCCAGAAGTGGAGTAATTGAGGTTCGTATTCCCAAGATTGAAGCTAAGCTAGCAAATTGGCGGCCGAAGAAAAAAGAGCAAGGAAAAGATGCACCGGAAACGCAGAACAGAGGACAAACTTACCCTACTGTAGCTCACGTGACCATTTTTCGAAAATGACACCATAATTGCGCGATGTGCGGCTTAAAAGGCTATCTGGACGTGACTTCTTGTTAAACCACATATTCTACTGGGGTTTAGGGTCATAAGAGAACTTGGGATTGGCGATTGAGAATACCGGTATTTGCGAAGCCCGAAACCAGTTATCTCCAGGTCCCGCGGGGCCTGGTGAAAGTTCGTGAGGAAGGCCGGGATTCCGAGATTCCAGTTCATATGTATGATACCATACATATTCTACCATTACGGTAGAACTTCATAGTACAACACGCGATTAGTAAGTTGTGATCGGCTATAGGGTTAGCCAGTGAACATCCACTATGAATGTTCCTTTCTGATCTGCAGCTAAGCCTAGGGATTGTAAATGAGGAAATTCTATGAAGGCTGTGTTATTTTTTCACTTGCCAGAAAAGGTACTCGAGTATCTATGGCAGCTGGCCCATATGAAACGACAGTGTTCCCGAATTAACTCTCCCCACCCGAGGACTCCTCTTTCCGTGGCGATACAAGGATAAATAAATTATATTGAACTCTTTCCGTGAATGGCGACAAATACCATCCTTCCGAAAGCAAAAAAATTACTACCACCACTACATCATAGCAAGTCAGTAAACAAATTTCACCAGGGGAGCAAATCGAACACATAACCCCTAGAATGATGGTAGAATTTGTAGGGGCTCCGGCTACTCGAGTATACTAGAGTACACCTCATTTCCTCACCGATTCCCCCAAACGCGACATGCCAACACTTCGAAGATTACCTCTATCTCAGTGCTATTGTATACCTCCAGAGACCTACCGTAGTATGATACCGTTCAATAAAATTTATTTACCGTAACTAATCATATCATACACCTCACCTCACCACTCATTTCCTTTCACTACCGAGCTAATTTCTTCCCCATTTCCTTCCTTGCTCCCCACCAGGATGCAAACGCTCCTAACCGTGAATATGCATCCCGATGCATACACTATGCGTAACACAACGACAACCCTCCCTCCATTCATCCCAAAATGACTAGTCACGTGACCCAACCCTAACCGCAACCCGTTCGATAAAGTTTCCACCCAAATCCTCCCATTGCACCACAAATCTCGACAAGTTACCGTGCTCCTCGTACATTGCTCGAAGCCCGATAGAGCGAAGCATCCATCACAACTCACCCATCCGCTCCCACACACCCACACTCACACACCACAGAATTCGAGCAACCGACCCGACCCGATGCTTCCAATGTCTTCCCCACGCACACCCTCACAGTCTCCGCAATCTGCGCGCTCACGGTCAAAGTCACGTACTCCTGATCGGGTAAAAGCAGCTGTCAACGCCGAGGAGAGGAATGAAAGGGTTGGGGAAAGGGGGGTTGAAACTAGTGGGGAATCCGACGTCGAAAATGAGAATACCTATGAGCGGGAAGAGGGTGAGGAGGAAGATGAAGAGACATCAAGGAGTGGGAAGGAACAGGACGGGGGAGAAGATCAGGATGATGAAGAAGAAGAAGGCGAAGTAGCATCCCCATTGCCAAATGAACCTCTACTAGAACCTTCGGACACAAACGGACAAGCACATGCAGAAGCTCCCCCATTGCCTGAAGGTCCTCCCCCAGAAGATGCCGCCGAGGATGACGGCTGGACACCCGTATGGGACGAAACCTATCAGGCATACTACTTCTTCAACCACCACACTGGCGAAACAACCTGGACAAACCCACGCGTTCCCACCGACTCTCTCCCTCTAGACCTCGCCGCCATCGACTCCACCGCCATGGACCCTACCGCCATGGACCACATCGCGGCCCCCGATTCCACCAGAATCCAATACAACCCTGCCATCCACGGAGACTACGATCCCACAGCACCTTATGCAGCGCTGCCCGTCGAGGAGGAGTACGTCTCCCGCGCAGCGTTCAACCGATTCACTGGCAAATTTCAAGGCGCTAATGGCAAGGCGCCGGAGAACTACAATGACGAGAATAAGAGTCGCAGGCAGATGGAGTTTTACTTTGACGTCGATGCCGCGGCGAGCTCGCACGATGGCCGGAGTTTGAAGGCCGAGAGACAAACGAGGAAGCTGACTAGGAAGGAGGTCAAGGCTTTTCAGGAGAAGCGTCGTGCGAGGAAGGAAGAGAAGAGGAAGGCGTGGTTGAGGGATTGAAAAGTGTAGTGGGGATAAACGCCAATTGAGTATTTTACGTGGATCAAGCGAAAAAGTGAAAAGGATGGTGATGGATGGTGGATTTGCGGGGGCTACGGGAATTATGGCAATGGATTGGATATCGGCGTTTTATTTTTATTTTTTTACTTTGTTTTTACTCCCTTTTCTTCCCTTCTGTCCATTTTTCCTTCCTCCCTCTTCTTCTCCTCCCCATAACCTTCCAGGGACCCTCTCCCCTTCATAATGTACAGCTAATCACTCTTTGTTCATTTCCCTTGTCAACTTCTACCCATTGGAAAAAAAGAGAAAAGAAATTTTTTAAAAAAGAACCCCTCTAAATCCAGGCTACCCTATTCAAATCTCCCAACCTCCATCCCCTCAACCTCCTTCACAACCCTTTCTACAACCCCCCAAACCACCTCTCTGACCTCCTCCACACTGCGCCCAGCATCCACAACCCTCCACCTCCCCTCCTCTTTTTCTCCAACCTCCTTAAACAAATCTCTAACTCTCCTCTGCACCGCCTCAACCTCATACCGCTCACCGCCGAACCCGCCCCGCCGCCTCGCCACCTCCGCATCCAGATCCAAGAACAAGACTACGTCCGCCCTTGGCAAGCCCACGTCCGGCGCGCGGCAGTAGTCCAGGCTGAGACCTTTCGCGGCGCTGAAGACGATCCCGGAGTATACGTATCTATCCAACACAATGGTAACGCCGTCGTTCAGGAGTTTCAGGATGTGCGCGGAGAGTTCCCAGCGGTTGGCGGAGAAGAGGAGGTGGATTGTGTGGTCTTCCAGGGTGGTTGAGGTGGAGAGGTAGGCATTTATCATTTTTCCGATGGGGGTTGTGCGGTCTTGTGTGTTAGTTAGGTTAGCTTGCCAGGAGGGGGGAGGAGAGGGAGGGAAGAAATGCTGTACCGGGGAATTTTTGTAGACGGGCGGGTACGTTCCTTTCTGCTAGGCGGTCCATTAGGAGCTGGCATTGAGTGGATTTTCCGGCTCGGTCAAGCCCCTCTATGGCTATCAGTGCTCCGCGCGTTTTGGGCGCTGAGGATGACATTGCTGAGCCGGCAGGTTGGTGCAAGTTGGTTCTGGCACAGCTTGGTTATGTATGATATCGTACGAGCACTTTAGGACCCAACCCAGGAAACCTGGGTCAGAATAACTAGGGTTGCTATGCAACCCAATGGAACAGATCTCCGATTTTGTTTGCCAAGCATAATAATAGTATCGTATCAATCTGCTCTTATCTTATCTTATCTTATCTAAATTTGTCAATACACCGCCAAGTAAGGAAATTATCTGATAATAATTATTATACAATTAGCGTCTTGGCATAATTGTTTCTGCTGGTGCGACTGTGGAAGGTAACAACAGCAGTTTGATATAATAACCTCATACTCAGAAAGTGTATGGTTTGTGTAGACCAAAACCTGAAACACAAATTTGGATGTATTCAAAGGATTATACTATTAGATCAAGTACACCAAATTACTTAAAAAAACCTCTACATAATTCTTGTTACCTTTTCTAATAATGAATTGGGTTATTCAAGACAAGTAAAACCTTGGATAAGATTGGATAATTGTTTAAAATATTGCATTTTGAGTGTGAAAGTGTTAGGTGGAGATGATCTGTATAGACTCAAAATCGTCTAGGCCAATCAAGATTCATTTTGTAGAAGGAGATTTTTCTAGGAAGGCTCAAAGGGTTATCTATTCTGTTTATGACTACTAAGAGTAAAGTAAGGTAAAATAGAATCAGAAAAACAATATTATATTTTTAAGGTCTCTTTTCCGTTGCTTGGTAGTGTCTAAAAGCTTGGGAGGCACTTCGATATTTATATTCCATGTTTGAGTGTTCACAGACTACATCTATCTCTCATACAAAGTATGTACCTCTTTGACTATAACTTGCAATATCAGGTATTCTCCTGAAGTACAAGTACTAGAAGACACTGAAAACTATCACACCCTCTTTTATAACTACTATTTTGCCAATTGGAAAACTGTACTACTTCTAATAGTAATTATCTGATCTGAAGAGTTCTTAGACTTATGGCCTAATTCTCAAGTCAAACTGTGGTGGTTCCAATTGTCTCACCTATTGATGAAATGATTAGTTTCATCTACAATTCATGTCTACTAGAGTAGTTGTACATGCAACTTTCCGGGTTGGAGATTTCAAATCTCTATAACTCTTGATCTAATATACCGATATCCTCTGGATAACTTTCTACTAATTCGCAGGAAGCCATTCTAACAGATTGGTAGAGAATTACTCAGTCGGCAATTCCTGATTATTCATGGTAATAAGGCTTTAGTTGTTGTCTAGTATTGGAGATAATTCCCACAACTACAACACATTCTTTAGCTTAGTTGTAATACTCTGTGAAGTTTATTGGCTTGTTTGGTAGTGTCCTCTAAGAGTTTTATACTCTTCTAATTATTGTATGTTGGATGTGAATGAATTGGTTCTTTGTGAAGAACATCTAACATTCAATATTGTATCTTATACAAAATGGTCCTATTACTTGCAGTCCCCATCAAAGAGGTACCATCTTTGAAACTGAATAACTCTCTGGATAGTTAAAAAATTTACTCTGCTCTACTTCCCAAAATAGGCCAAAGTCCCCTCTCATATATTCTGAGAAAGTAGGATCTGGTTGGACAGATAGTAGTAACATATATACTGTGATTCTGATACCATAAATTCTGTAGCATTATAGTTACAGGATACAACTAAGATAGAATTGGATGATAATGTACTTGCCTAGTAAGGGGGATAAAGAAGGGTGTTGGAGACCAGAGATTCTAATTTCAAGTGGTATTATCCTATTTAGGGTAGTTCCTAGGTATCAGACCACTATACTGCTAACGGAAAGTGGAAAATGTGTTATGCACAGTCACGCTTTGACTACAAAGATAAAATAACACTTGGATTAGCAATTTCATCATCTTGATAACCTTTCACAAATGTTTGTAGAAAATAATACCTAAAACCTAAAACTTAAAGATAGAGTATGATTCTGTGAGGAGTACAAGGATTAGATATCTAGCAACTACCATAAATAGGATAACTCCATATAACGATCCTACTTCGTATATGTTAGTTCTTCAACAGGTAATGATCTCAGCTCTTTGATACTTTGAGAGCTCAGAAACTCTGAGTCTTTGTTACCAATTTTGATAACAACTATCGATATCTTCCCAGTCTTGTCTTAAGGTAATAAGTAAGATCTCTGGCTCACATAATGTTGCTGGAGATGTTGTGTGTGGATAAGTGTATAGATTCAATATGTAGTATAGAAAAGAACTTGAATGGAAGTATGAGGAGTCTGTACTGGAGGTTCCGTTTTTTTATTTTTTTGTTTTTTATCATATTATTTGTTGTTAAGATACAAGAAAACTATAGACAGTACTAGCTATAGCATAAATAAAACCATATCCTCCCTAGACCAAGAGAAACCCCATACTCTCTATACCTTCTGGTATAGGCCTAACCACAAACACTCCAAGGACGATCAACTCAGACGCCCGGTCTGCAAATCTCATGATTTGAACGCAATGAGGTCTCTTCTAGTAGCCAACCAAATTCCCAGGAACATTCCTTGCTCAAAAGAAATCTCTCACACTAACTACATATAGCTAACAGAAAGAAAACCAAACAGGCTAGGCAGGAAAGTATAATGAAAAACTCTATCTATAAACTATAAAAGAAAAGCTCCAAAAGAAAGTAAACTATAGCCACTATTGCCAGACTACTGTACGCAAAACTACCTACAAACAGAGTAGCTATTAGGAATACCAAAATTCAATACCTAGAAGTCACCTTAAGTAGGGTAGCCTCACTTGGAATCAGAATCTCTGGTCTCCAAGACCTCCATCTAGCCCCCTTAAGGGGCCGCACATCATCATAAATATCAATCTTAGTTGCGTCCTGTGACTATAATACCACAGAATTAAAGGTATCAGATTAACAGCCTATATGTTGCCACCATCTGTCTGACCAGATCCTGTTTGCAGGATATAGGAGAGAAGACATTTGGCTAGATCTGAGAAGTAGAACAGAGTAAATCCGCCAACTACTCAGAACGTCACTAGGCTTTAAAGAGGTAATACCTTTCATATAGACTGTAGGTAACAGGACGTTTCTGCATAAAGAGATGGTAGTGCATGGTAAAGGATCTCAGCAAGAGACCAATATATTCACACCCATACTACAATATTTAGAAGAGTCTTGATCTCTGAGAAACACTGCCATAGAGGTTATTAGACTTCATGGAGTATTGCAACCAAGTTTCAGAATATGTTGTAGTTACAAAGACAACTTTCCATACTACAACATTGATCGAAATCCTGTTACCCAAAGCAACCAAGGGAATAATTATCAATTTGGTAGAATAGCTTTCTGCAAATTTATAGGAAGCCTTTCGGAAGATATTTATCTGTTGGATAAGGAGTTAGGGAGGTTTAAAGTCAGGTGATCAAAAAAGGATTTCGATTACGACTACCTTTACAGATACAACCCGCAGATGAAACTGATTATTTTATCAATAACGAAGACAATTGGAGCCAACTCAGTTCAACTTGAAAACTAGGCCACAAGTCTAAAGACTCTAAAGATTGGATAACTACTATTGGGAACAGTAAGGTTCTGAGTTGGTTATATCAATCTTAGCAAAGAGGTTGTGGTAATTTTCAGGGTCTCAAGGTGATCGCACTTTTCAAGAATATCCGATGTTGTGAGTTATAATTAGAAAGGTACATAGTGGCATGATAAATATATGTAGTTCCCGAACACTCAGACGTGGAATGTAAATATCAAAGTGCTTCCCAAGCTTTAGATATTATCAAGTAATGGACAAGAGAGCTTAACAATATAATATTGTTTTTACAATTCTATTTTACTTTACTGAATTTACTTTACTCCTAGTTGTCATAAATGAAAGGAGTAAGCCCAAGCCTTCCTAGACAATTTTCATCAACAGAAACTAATTTCAATTGGCCTAGACAACTCTAAAGTCTATCAGATTGTTTCCACTTAATAGTAGCCAGTGAGAGGCTTAAAGGCCAATGCACTTGGCCTGCTGAACTCAGAAAATAGTGAAATACCAAGATACTCTATCTGAGAAATAGGATTATGGTATCAGAACTAAGGAGTGGATATTTTAGCAGAGGAGATACTGCCCAGCAGTAGGATACTAACCAAAGATCTACTACCAGGAGGCTGTACCGATAGTTCTTTTTATTTAATTTTTATCAGTTTATTTCTCTCATTCTATATACAGTAAGGTTTGTGAGTCCTACCAGATTGTGCTATGGAGACCTTTACCTCCTGCCTGCCTTGTTCTCCAGCAGCCAGAAGAAAAACTGTAAAACAAGAAAGGCTAACACTAGCAGTGTAACGATCCCTTTCTTAGATAGTTAGTTCTTGGTGACGGGGAATGATACTTATCTTTTCTATCTTCTTCTTTCTCTTTGTCTTACGATAGCTATAGGCCTATACCCACGTTACCAATAGTACAAGACCTCTGTCTTCTATTGGAACGCCTATCGTAAGCTTTCTCTAACTTGTCTTCTTCGAAGCCCTTTCTTGGCGCAATGATATCGTTGCAATAAGGATAAAGATCGTAACGGGGTTTTATATTTGTTATCGTAATAACTAGGAAAAGTACTTAGAACAAAGCGTGAAGAACCTATCTTCCTCGGCTGCATCGGCCTCCTTATATAGTGTTCTTCCCGCCTTTAGTCATGTGACCCAAAGTGGTCACATGTGCAAAACCAAATCATAACAAACTAGTCATATGACCAAAGTGATCAAATGCTAAAAACCCATGACCTTATAGCGAGGTCATGTGCAAAACTCATAAACCAATTATAATGCAATAAACAAGTCATATGACTCGACTGAGTCATATGCACGAAACCCATGACCTCATAATGAGGTCATGTGTGAAACATAAATCATATGCGCAAGGCTTACTCGTAAGGCACACTTGCAAGGCATACTCGTCAGGCGCATGTCCGATGACTCATACTTGAGCCATGTGCGAAAGCATCACAAATCCCACACATAACAAATCATATAACCCGAATAGGTCATATGCATGAAACAATAACATACCTGTGACTCATAGCCATGTGTCACGTGAAAACCTTT